CCAGGGCCACTTCCATCCTCTCCAAAGCCACTTCCATGCTCTCCAGGGCCACTTCCATCCTCTTCAGGGCCCCTTCCACCCTCTCCAAAGCCACTTCCATCCTCTCTGAGACCACTTCCACCCTCTCCAGTGTCATTTCCACCCTCTCCCAACACGCTGTTGTAGTTCTGTGGTTTGAAGTTCTGGTTTTCAGGTTGTTTTTTGTTTTGGTTTTTTTTTTTAGTTCTTTTAGTCTTGTTTTTGTTTCTTTAAATTCCTCTGGATTTTAATTTTGCTAATTCTTTTAATTCCATATATTTTATTCTTATTTATTTTAGTCCTGTTTCTTTAGCTCTTTCTTCTGGGAAGGGGGAAGAAGAACAGGGACAAAGATCCCAATACTTGGGCTTTTATTTGGCTCAATCTTCACCTCCCTCCATCGACCCTTGATTTGGGGCACACACCCCCATTTCTGGGGTTCAGACCCTGAGAAGGGCAGCTCTGCAGCACATTCTTCAAATCCTGGAGTCCTTAAGTTTGGAAAACCCTTGCAAATCCTCAAATCTGACCCTTCTTGTCCTTCCTTGCAGCCTCTGGTGGCAGGGCCAGATAATCCCTTTCTCCTCACGTATTCACACCAACCTCAAGCAGTTTTTGGGTTAAAAAGCAGCAGATTTAAGATGTCTTCAATTTTTTTGCATTATTTTTCACCCTCTCCAGGTGCCGCAGAGGATCATCCTGCAGGTGAAGCAGCCGGGCCCCACCACACTCGCCCTGCTCCCCAGCCCAGCCTCCTGTGTCCTGGGCAGCAGCCAGGGGCCAGGGCCACCAGCCCACAAACCCACAGGCCACCCCCATCCTGCCACCCTGTCACCCTGCGGCCACCAGCACCCTGCAGCAGCTGCACCCCAGCACAGCAGCATCGCCACGCCCAAGGCTGTGGGAATTGAGCTGTGGCACGCAGAAAGCTTCTGGGGCCTGCAGCCAAAATGGGGGAAACTGGACTCTTTTGTTTCTTATTTTTAATAAAACTCTTGATGGAAAGTGCCGTAAGAATCCACAGTGAGATTATTTAGTGTTAAGGCTTGAGTTTAAACACATCCAAAGCTTGTTTCATGTTTGCAAGATATCACCCTGGTTCCTGAGGAGAAGAAAACCTTCTCCAGTGTTTCTGTCCTTGTTTCTGCTGGGAAGTCAGGGGGTCCTTGTGCCATCCAGCAGCCCCTTCAGGTGAGGAGCTGCCTTTCCTGGCAGAGTTCTTTGTTTTTGAGTTTTTCCACTTTGTTCTCAAGGTTTTCTACTTTATTTTCCCTATAAAGTTGTCCCATTTTCTCCTCCTTCTCAGTTTTGTCCTTCATTTTCCATTTTTTTCTCCTCTAATTTCCATTTCCCCCTATATATGCAAATTTTACACCTTCTTTCCCAGCTTTATCCCCTATTTTCTAGTGTTCCACTTTCTCAGCTTTCCCCTTTTTACTTCCAAGTCCTCCACTTTACTTCCAAGATTTTCCACTTTTTAACTCCAAGTTTCCTTTTATTTCCATTTTTTCTCTTTCAAGTTTTCTCCCTTCATTTCCACATTTCTCCACTTTGTCTCTAAGTTTTCTGCCCCCTTTCCAAGATTTTTCCTTTTATTTCCACATTTTTTCTCTTGATTTTTCAAGGGTTTTTTTCCATGTGAAAGCCCAGGAGAAACGCTGGGACTTCTCTTGGCACAGGCAACAGCTATGGGTGATGGAGCAGAGGAGGAGGAATTCAAACTGAGAGACAGTCTACAGATAAAGACGGTGAAAGAAATACCCTTGTGGCATGCTACAGGGTCCAGAAGGAACACCTGGATCAACAGTGACAAGATACCAGACAGACAGAGAGCAGAAATACCACGGAGCTACAGGACGCACAGGGAACAATGCAAAAATGGTATCTGAGAGCTGGACAGAAAAACACAGCAAATGAGAAAATAGCCACGGGCAGAGCGAGGGAGGACCGAAAAGATGGGGACAAGGTCAGGGCGAAATGGGAAAAGCAGGTACAGGGGAGAAAAAAGAAAATTAAATGGGAAAGGGGAGAGAAAAGGCAGCAGCGCCCCGCGGGCCCGTCGCTGCCCGCAGCTCTTGGTTTGGAGCTCCCGGGAGCCGTAACGAGTCCAGGCGCTCCCTTCTCCCAGCGCTCGGCGGTGCCGCTGCCCCGAGCGCACGCGGGTGTCCCACGGCGGGCGGACAAAGCTCCGGCGAGATGGGGAAGCGCTCACCGCCAGCCCCGGGAGTGTCCGCCTCCTCCAGCCCCGCCTGTACCGGAGCCGCGGCGGGTGGGCTGCGGCTGCCGCCCCGCACCCCCGGCGGGCCCGCGGACACGCCGCCCCAGCCGAGGGGCCGCTCGGCTCACCGGCTCCGGCACCGCGACCCGCGCCCGCCGGTGCCGCCGCCGCATGGAGTTCCCGGGGCTCAGCCGCGCCGTTCCCGGGGCTCGGCCAGGCTGTTCCCGGAGGTGTTTTAAAAACTTTTTGGTGCTCGGCCAGGGTGTCCTGGGTACTCCGCCAGGCCGTTCCCGGCTCTCGGCCGTTGCCGGGGCTCGGCCGCTGCTGCCGGTGCCGCCGGCAGGAGCACCGCGGGGACACCGAGCTGCAGTTCCACACTTTGGCCGCTCGGTGGCAGCCGCGAGCGTGAGAACTGCCCGGCGCTGGGAGAGCCCCGGGAGGGCGGGGACAGGAGGGGACACGGCGGGGACACAGGAGGGACACACACGGCGGGGACAGGAGGGGACATGGCGGGGACACAGGAGGGACACACACAGCGGGGACTCTGGGGGGGATACGGGGGGCACACACACAGGGGACACTAGCGGCACACGAGGGGCAGGAGCATTCCTGGCCAGCCGCAGGAGCAGCTCAGTCTGGGGGAGCATTTCCCCCAGCGGCTCAGTGGGCTGCTCCTGGCAGAGTCCCCGGGCACATCCCCCAGCTGGCTGGGGCCATCCAGCCCCCTTGGCACCTTCTCTTGGCTGTATCCATCCCCTCTTGGAGCTGATCCTTTGTGCCCTCCTGCTGTGAAGGAGTGTTCTGACCCAGAGATGGGGTAACTGAGAGGTGTTTTAAAAACTTTTATTCCATTTTCGCTCTCATGAGAAGGGTGAGACAATACAGATGTTATAATTCACACCATCACAAGCAGAAGCCAACTATTTCCTAATTACAAAACACTATAAGCATTTCTTGGCCTAAAAGCTTTAGTCACGATTTTCTACAAATGCAGAGCAGAGTGAGCGGGGCAGGGGTAGAGGCAGTGCACCCCAGCTGTGGCTGTGACACTGGGCTGCAGCTGTGGGAGCTCCCCCAGGGCTGGGACAAGCTCCAGGAGCTCCTGGACTCGCTGGTGCCCAGGCAGGCAGTGGGCAAGGTGGAGAGACAGCTACTGGGGAGGAGCTGGGCAGGGAGGTGAGTTGCAGAATCCTCCCGAAGCCCCAGCTGCAGTGTTGGCTGAGTTTGAGACAGTGGCAGTTTGGTACAGGGCAGAGACTGCAAAATGAGCTACATCCCCTTCAGTTTTAACCACTCCACTTTCACCAATAAGGAGAGATGAATGTGAGAATATAAGTGAAGAATAACAGAACAGGTGTGAATGGTGCTGGGTGCCCCTGCAGGTGGGGTGACTGCTCCTAGAGAACAGCAAGTTAAACAGTTGATTTAACTTTATTATTCTTTATTCTTTATATTTATTATTCTTTATGCTTTATTATTCTGCTGACATGCGTTCCACACTGAGGCTCTCTCTTCTCTCTTCTCTTCTCTTCTCTTCTCTTCTCTTCTCTTCTCTTCTCTTCTCTTCTCTTCTCTCCTCTCCTCTCCTCTCCTCTCCCCCCTATTTTTTCTTTCCTTTCTCTGTGCCAGTTGGCACCATTTTCCACCCTCCCAGTCATCACCCTCCTGCCTTGGTCCTTGCCATGTTGAGTCAGGAATGTGAATATTTCATTCCTGTAAATGCTGGGCAGTGTTGCTCACTGTTTGGCCAGGCGTTTCCTCCTCTGGTCCCCTGAGCAGGATATTGTCATTATTTTGTCCATTTGTAGTTTCAGGTGTGACAAGGATTGATCCTGCCTCTCTGGCTGACATGACATGGACCACCCAAGGGATTTGGGGCAAGGGCTGGAGGGACAGGACCAAGGCAATGACAGAGGGCAGGGCTGGATGGGATTTTGGGAAGAAATGCACCCTGTGAGGGTGGGCAGGCCTGGCACACGTATCCTACAGAAGCTTCTCCATCCCTTCAAGTGTCCAGGCCAGGTTTGATGGGGCTTGGAGCAACTTGGTCCAAGCCCTGAGAACAAAATGAGCTTTAGGGTCCTTGTCCTTCCCAGCCCAAACCATTCTGGCATTCGAGGATTCTTCGGCACTGAGCCAAAGCACACGGTGCTCCAGCCAGGACTTGGCAACATTTCATTAAACTTAACAACAATAATTTCACAAACTCTTTTGAGGATTTTTTTCCTTAATATGAACAACTTGAAGCCATGTGCCAGAGGAGAAACCCTTCTCCTGCCCTGCTGCATGGAAAACCAGCACGGAGAGGGAGCAGGCAGCTGCAGGCAGCAGAGCCTATTGAGATCTGGGAAACTGAGCTCAAGCCCAGATATTCCACTTGGCTGTGAACTAAACCCAGATTTCAAAAAGAAAAAAAAAAAAAAAAAAAAAAAAGACCCAGCATATATGACAACATTCATTTAAGCAATTGTTTAAATATTAGCAAATTTAATTTATAAGCAAAATTTGAAAACTTAAAGCTGAAAGAAAATTACCATAAAAAGCTGCTCATTTCTTGTGATTACTATTTTATTTTTTGAGAGGAAAAAGGATTTTTATTTTCTAATTCCCTTTATTTTTATTTTATAATTTTTTATTGGTTTATTTTAGAAAAGAAAAAATCTCCGGATATATGACTTGACCTTTATATAATCTTTTTTTATATTTCCTATCCATGAATTTCTATTGTCATTTCCATGGTTTCCATTATTTTTTCCCTTTCTCCCTCAGTGTCAGCGACACGCGCAGACCCGCGTGCATACACGAATGGATGGACACGGCGGGGTTCGAAGAGATTTTTAGGGATCGGTGAAAGGACGGACCCCCCTCCCCGGGATCAGGGATGACGTCACGGCTCCCTTGACCACCATCCGCATCCCCCTTCCCGGTGACGTCACCGGTCCTCCCCCGCGCCTGCGCAGTGCGGGCGCAGCACCCCCGGCGCGGCGCGGAGGATGCGGGGCTGCAGGTGGGTGCGGGGCTGGGGGCTGCGGAGGGGCTGGGGGGGCTGCAGGGGGGCTGGAGCCCCGGGGGGCGGTGAAGGGTGCGGGGCTGCAGCCGGGGGCTGCGCCGCTGGGAGCGCGGTGCGGGGCCGTGCGGGAGGGGGCTGTGCTCGCACACTGCGGGGGCGTGCTGGGGGGCTTGGGGACGCGGGGTGTGCCCTGCGGGCGGCCGAGGGAGGGGCGGCGAGCGCAGCGAGGGCGTGTCCGTGTGCGTGTGTTTGTGTGCGTGTGCGCGCAGCGCTGAGCGCGTGTGCGAGGGATGAGCGTGTGTGCGAGGGATGAGCGTGTTCAGATGTGTGTGCGTGTGTGCGACGGATGTGCGTGTTCAGATCTGTGTGCGAGGGATGAGCGTGTCCAGATGTGTGTGCGTGTGTGCGAGGGGTGTGCGTGTGCAGATATGCACGCAGGGCTGTGTGTGCGTGTCCAGATGTGTGTGCATGTCCAGATGTGCACGCAGGGCTGTGTGTGTGCAGATGCATGTGCAGGCAGATGTGTCTGTGCACACGTGTGTGTCTGTGCAGATGCGTGTGCACGTAGATGTGTATACATCTGTGCAGGTGTGTGTGCATGTCCAGATGTGCACGCAGGGCTGTGTGTCTGTGCAGATATGTGTGCACGCAGATGTGTCTGTGCGTGTGGTGTGCATGTGCAGCTGCAGGGGCACATGTGCAGACACGTGGATGTGTGGGGGTGTGTGCAGGTGTGTGTGCACGCAGTGTGGTGCAGGTGTGTGTGCAGGTGTGTGTGCACGCAGTGTGGTGCTGGTGTTTGTGGGGCCTGCAGCTGGCTGCTGTGGGCACGGTGGGGCCCGTGGTGCATGTGGGGGAATGCAAAAGTGCACGGCGGTGCACAATGTATGCGAGGGGATGCAGGCATGCACAGGGCTGCACAGTGTGTGTTTGTGCATGGCATTGCACCTGGGCATGCGTGAGCGCATGGCTGCACACACACTCTGCTGGGGATGCGTGCCTGTATGCACTGGGGCATGTGGGGGTGAATGTGTGTGCAGCCCAGCACATGTGCACCACTGCAGCACACAAGCACACGCATGCACCACTCTGTGCATCTCTCTGTGCATGGTGTGTGTGCTCATGGGGAGCACCGGGCCCTGTCCTGTGTGTGTGTGGTGCAGGTGTGTGCAGGGCTGGGCTCACCTGCACGTGAGGCACATGTGCAGGGTGTGCATGCACAGGGTGTGTGCTGCAGGGCTCAGGGCACCAGTGGGGCACACGTGCATGGGGTGTGGCTGTGATTCCAAACCCTTTCAGGGCAGGTTTTCCCCAAAGCCGTGATGGTTGTGCTCCCCTCCCCAGGGAAGCGTGGCCGGGGCTGGGGAGTGAGCTGGGGTGCTGACACCTGTACTGGGCTGCTCCTGGCTTACTCCTGAGTTACTGCTTGCTTCCTCTGAGGCTGCTGCTAGGATGCTGCTGGGATATTGTCAGTAATCTCCTGAGGGAGTAGTGAAATGCTGTCAAGGCACAGCTGAGATGCTCTGAGGTGCTGCTGGGATGCTGCTGAGATGCTCTGAGTTTACTAGGATGTGGACAGGCTGCTCTGCAGGCAACAGTAAGGCACTTGCAGAGTGGCACTAAGCTACTCTCAGGATACTCTGTGGGTGTTACTGGGGTGCTGCAAAAGCTCCACTAAGGTACTATCAGGCTGCTACTAAGATACTTGCAGAGCTGATACTGAGGTATTCATATGAAGGTACCACTGGAGCAGCTCTCACAAGGTTACTCTCAAGATACGTTCAGGTTGCTTTCGGTGTAGTTACAGGGCAGTAAGAAAATACCTGGATAACACTCTGCACTACCTGAGGATAACAGCTGTGTCCCATTGCACCACTTATAGGATCCTATCAGCACACTCCTTATCTACTACTGGGATACTATCAGGGCGCCAGGATGCTCCTGGGATGCTCTTGACAGAATGAGGATATTTCTGCCTGTGCTAGTACAACATCAGGACAATGCTGAGCTACTCAATGCTGAGCTGCTGCTAGGATGCTCTCAGTGTAGCACAAAGGTACTATCAGGATGTTGCTAAGATTTTAGCAGGATAACACTCCAAAGTATCACTTGGCTAATTGTAAATGTATTGCTAATGCTAATGAGTATTACTAATGAGGCACTACTAAGATACTACAGGGTCACTGCTAGGATACCACATTACTGGCACTACTGTGATAGTACAGGATGTTCTCACAAAGCTCCCAGGGTGCTGTCAGGACAGGGTCCGTTTTCAGGAGGATGCTCTCAGGATAAAAGGGCAGTTTTCTGCAGGATACTTCCAAGATGGTGCAAGGGCACTAGAAAAGATCGTGGCAAGATACTTCTGGGATGCCATCAAAGCAACACTCACATTTTTGGGGTACTGACAGCACATTACTGATATTTTCAGGCCACTTGCTTAGTAGTGATATAGTGTCAGATTGATTAGTGCTCTTTTCTGACTCAGTGATGGGGAAACTGAGAGGTGACAAAAGCTGATAGGCCAAGAAACACTTGCAGTGTATGGTAATTAGGAAATAGCTTCTGATTGTGATGGCATGAATTGTAACATCTGTATTGTCTCACCCTTCTCATGAGAGTGAAAATGGAATAAAAGTTTTTAAAGCACCTCTCAGTTACCCCATCCCTGGGTCAGAAAAGGCCATAATCTGACAATACTGTATAAGGATACAACTAAGATACTACCAGTTCAGGGAAATGGATAGTGGTATGACATTTTTTACATACCATCAGGGTAGCACTAAGCTGCTTGGACCACTATCAGCACTTTGTTGCTACTAGTAAATTACCACTAGAGTAGTGCCACCATATCAGAATATTTCTTCTGAAGGTAGCACATCCTGTTGGGATACTGCCAGGATACTACAGAGATACTATTGGTTGTGTAACAGCTCTGGCAGCAGGGTTTCAGTGAGCACGGCAGCAGCAAACGCAACGGGGAGCTGGCTGTTGTAACCTGTTAGTAGCCTGGTGAGGGAACGGGGAGCTGGGTGAGAGAACAGGGAGCTGGGTGTTGTAACCTGTGAGTAACCTGGTGAGGGAACGGGGGGCTGGCTGTTGTAACCTGTGAGTAACCTGGTGAGGGAACGGGGGGCTGGCTGTTGTAACCTGTGAGTAACCTGGTGAGGGAACGGGGGGCTGGCTGTTGTAACCTGTGAGTAACCTGGTGAGGGAACGGGGGGCTGGCTGTTGTAACCTGTGAGTAACCTGGTGAGGGAACGGGGGGCTGGCTGTTGTAACCTGTGAGTAACCTGGTGAGGGAACGGGGGGCTGGCTGTTGTAACCTGTGAGTAACCTGGTGAGGGAACGGGGGGCTGGCTGTTGTAACCTGTGAGTAACCTGGTGAGGGAACGGGGGGCTGGCTGTTGTAACCTGTGAGTAACCTGGTGAGGGAACGGGGGGCTGGCTGTTGTAACCTGTGAGTAACCTGGTGAGGGAACGGGGGGCTGGCTGTTGTAACCTGTGAGTAACCTGGTGAGGGAACGGGGGGCTGGCTGTTGTAACCTGTGAGTAACCTGGTGAGGGAACGGGGGGCTGGCTGTTGTAACCTGTGAGTAACCTGGTGAGGGAACGGGGGGCTGGCTGTTGTAACCTGTGAGTAACCTGGTGAGGGAACGGGGGGCTGGCTGTTGTAACCTGTGAGTAACCTGGTGAGGGAACGGGGGGCTGGCTGTTGTAACCTGTGAGTAACCTGGTGAGGGAACGGGGGGCTGGCTGTTGTAACCTGTGAGTAACCTGGTGAGGGAACGGGGGGCTGGCTGTTGTAACCTGTGAGTAACCTGGTGAGGGAACGGGGGGCTGGCTGTTGTAACCTGTGAGTAACCTGGTGAGGGAACGGGGGGCTGGCTGTTGTAACCTGTGAGTAACCTGGTGAGGGAACGGGGGGCTGGCTGTTGTAACCTGTGAGTAACCTGGTGAGGGAACGGGGGGCTGGCTGTTGTAACCTGTGAGTAACCTGGTGATGGAATGGGGAGCTGGGGGAGGGAATGGGGAGCGGGGTGTTGTAACCTGTGAGTAGCCTGGTGAGGGAATGGGGAGCTGGGTGATGGAATGGGGAGCTGGGTGAGGGAATGGGGAGCTGGGTGTTGTAACCTGTGAGTAACCTGGTGATGGAATGGGGAGCTGGGTGAGAGAACAGGGGGCTGGCTGTTGTAACCTGTGAGTAACCTGGTGAGGGAACGGGGGGCTGGCTGTTGTAACCTGTGAGTAGCCTGGTACTGACGGGCAGCTGTCCCTGCAGCTAAGGCAGCACAGGGGTGTTGAGGAGGATGGAGGCGCCGCTGGTCAGTCTGGAGGAGGAGTTCGAGGAGGGGCCCGCGGACGATGGGGGGTCCCTGCCGCGCCCCGCGGACCCCGCGCTGGCCGAGCTGGAGAGCTTCTCCGCCGAGATGATGAGCTTCAAGTCCATGGAGGACCTGGTGCAGGAGTTCGACGAGAAGCTCACCGTGTGCTTCCGCAACTACGACGCCGCCACCGAGGGCCTGGCGCCCGTGCGGGGCCGGCTCCAGGCGCAGGAGGAGGAGGAGCGCCTGCAGGATGAGGAGTGAGTAAGGCCCCCCTGCTCCTGGGGCCACTTCCCACCCTGAACCCCCCCACAGGGCAGGCTACCTCCCAGCGCTGCAGCACGGCCGTACTCCGTGTAGTATCCTGTGAGTAAGGGTCTGCGTGCCACCTTGCATGCTGGCAAGGTACAGCCCACGTGCAGCTCGGCCCCTGCATCACGGCACAGTCATGCAGCAGTGTGGAATAGCTGTGTGGTATCTTTTGAGTAGCTGTGTAGTATCTTTTGAGTAGCTGTGTAGCATCTTATAAGTAGGCCACCCTCGAGCCTGCATGCATCCTGTCACGATCATTAAATACTCCTCTTTCCCAGAGCATGCACACAGCATGACTGTGCAGCACTGCAGAGTAGTGGTGTAGTATCTTATGAGTAACATCCCCATGGCCTGTTGCACCTCCTTGTGCTCTTCTGTGAGCCCATAACATGCAAATCAGCCCCTGGACTGTGCTGTGAGTATACAGCACCTTGGAGTAGCTGTGTAGGGTCCTTGGAGTAGCTGTGTGAGGTCCCTGGAGTAGCAGCCTGTGAGGAGGAGGAGCAGTGTGTCCCATGCAGGGGACCACAGCTCTGTCTGTGCAAGGAAAGCTCCAGGAGTTGAACATAAACCTTGAGTAAGGTGTGAGTAGAGTCTGGCCACCCCCTCTGTGCCATGCTAGGGGATGGCCAAATTCCCTAGGGTCAAATTCCCCCCTAGGCTCCCCAATTATTATTGTGCCTTTTGTGTTCAATTCTACAGTTTCCTTAAAAACCCTGTTTTGTTACAAAATGCCATTTTTTCCTGCAAGTCCTTGTGCTTTCTGCTCGTGATGATCACACACTATCACATTTCTTTGGATTTTTTGTCTGTTTTTTCTGTGGATTTTTTGTCTGTTTAATTGGGATTATTCCAAAATCGCTAACCCTTATTCTCACCAAGCAAAGGGGTTGCATTCAACCCAAAAAGCCCCAAATCTGTTGGTTTTGTTGGTTTGTGTTTAGGTTTTTTCCCCCAAACCCACTGAGGCTGAAATGATTTTTGCAATTGGTCGAATTCATGGGTTTTCAGAGCAAAATGCAGCTTGGCTGCGCGCCGGGGCTGCCGCGCTGTCGCCGCTTTGTGCCACTTATTGTGTCTTTTTTGGGTCACTTTGGGCAAAACAGGGCTTTTTTTTTTAGTCTTCTTTGAATGAGCCCTGTGTGCAGGCCGGGGGAGGGGCCATGGCCTCACAGGCACTGCATTTCCAGAGTTTTTAACCATTTCTTGCCATCATGAACTCAGAAATCACTGCTGGTCTTGGCCTGCTCCTGTGGGGTGCTGGTTCTTTAAGAGCAGAGACGGGAAAAAAAAAAAAAAAAAGGCAAATTTGGGGGGATAATTACTAATTTGATGTTCTTTGTTAAAAAAATAAGTATTTAAGATTTGGCATCCGCATTTTTGTACGTTAATTTGTGAAATCTGTAATTCCAAGGGGAATTCAGCCCTGGTGAGAAGGGAAATAGAATAAATCTCAAAAATGAGCAGTTTTGGGGTTGGAAAAGGGGCAAATGGTTTTGGGGTGATCGTCAGCATTTGGATGTGGCACCAATTGGACTGAACCCCCCATTTCTGATGGGAAAATGGGGGGGGGGCTTGCCTGAGATGGAGAGAAAATTTCTAATCTCTTTCTGTGCCTTTCCCCCCATTTTTGACATTTTCCTCCCATTTTTGGCCTTTTTCTCAATGTTGCCACTTCTCAGCTCTTTTTTCCCATTTTCTGTCTTTCTCCTCCATTTTTTCCCTTTTCTCTACTTTCCCTGCCCTTTTCTCAATTTCCCTCCTCATTCTCCCTTTTTTCTTACATTTTCTCTTTTTCCCCTTTTCCCTTTTATCCTGATTTTTCCTTTTTCCCTCTTTTGGTCCTTTTCCTATTCCCTGTTATCTCCTCTTTCCCTTTCTTCCCTTTTGTTCCTCTTACTCCATTTCCCACCATTTTTCTTTTCCCTCTTTCTCATTTTTTCTTCAGTTTCTCCCCTTTTACCCAGATTTTCCTTCCTCCACTTTTACCCAGATTTTCCTTCCTCCACTTTTTCCCCTTTCACCCCTTTTTTCCATCTTCTTCTTTACCCCTTTTTTCTCTTTTCTCCTGTTTTCCCCCTTTCCTTTTTTTTCCCCTTCCTTCCCCTCTTTTCCTTCTCTATTTTCTCCTCTTTTGGTCACTATTTCAGGAAGGAATTTTAGGGTATTTTAGGTGTTGAAAAGTGACATTTTGGGACCTCTGGGGTGTTTCAGTGAGGGCGTTGGGACGGTGGCATTTTGGGGGTATTTCAGAAGAGAATTTGGGGACAGTTTGGGGTGTTCCAGGGCAGCATTTTGAGGTGTTTTGGGGCCTTTCAGAGAGTCTTGGAGCTTTGGGGCTGCTTTAAGATAATGTTTTGTGCCACTTCAGGGCATCATGGTGCTGTTTTTGAGTGGCATTTGGGGACATCTAGAGATATTTTGGGACATTGCTGTGGCCTTTTGGAGTGTTTTGACAGCAGCATTTCAAAATGACATTTAGGGGGCATCTCAGGTGCTGGAGCAGTGTTTTTGGGCACTTTGGGATATTTCAGGACAGGATTTCATGATGCTATTTTGAGAAGCTTTGGGGTCTTCTAGGACAGCATTTGGGGTTTTCTAGGATATCATTTGGGGTGTTTTGGGATGTTTCAGGCATCTCAGTGGTTTTTGGGGATTTTTGGAGGTCATTTCAGGATGTTTCTGGGCTGTATTTCGGGATGTTTTGCAGCATCTTGGCGTGCCATTTTTGGGATGTGTCTCTGAGATGTAACATTTTGGGATCAGCACTCACCACTGCCTCCCTGCAGGGTCTGGGATGCTCTGACTGATGGCTTTGCCCCCCGGAGCTCCCCCCGGCCGTGGCAGCTCCCTGGGACTGAGCCCCTCGACGGCACCGACCCCCAGGTACGGCTGTGACCTCCCCACGTGATCCCCTGAGTGTGATTGACAGCTGTCAGTCAGCCCCGAGGCTCAGCGACCATCACGCACTGCAAACCACCCAAAAAGGGTTGTTTTGGCACCTGGTCTTTGCCAGTTTGCCCCCATGCCACGGTGGGGTGGGTGTTTTGGGGGTTGAAAATGAGTTTTCATTTGTAGTGAGTTTGTGCTGTCAATAGCTGCTTTTGGGGTTGTAAAAATGTCCCAATATCCATGGAATTGAACCCATTTGGATGTGTTGCTGAAGGGGGAAGAGAAGATAACTTCCTTGGCTTATTTTCTGCTAAAAAGGTGAAAAAAGATGGTGAAAGGTGGGAAAAAAGAAGCTGCCTCCTCACCCAACATCTCCATCCATCCGTTCCCTGGCGGTGTTCCCCTCTGCCATGTCCCCACCTGGTGTCCCCAGCCTGTGTCTCCATCAGAGCTCTCCCATTCAGCCCCACCAGCCCTCATCTCTCCATCCAGCATCCCCTTGTGTCTCCACCGAGCATGTCCAACCCCACTCTCCATCCAACACCTCCATCCAGCACACCTGCACTTCCCCCTGTCTTCTTCCCACTCCATGGCTCCATTCTACAACTCTCCATCCAACACTCCCTGTCCAACATCTCCATCCACCTTCTGGCAATACCTCCCCTGCAGTGCTGTCCATTGTCTGCAGTGTCCCTGCCCAAAGCCCCATCCAGCATCTCCATGAAATACCCTCAATCCAGCACGTCCCATCTGATGTCCACATCCAGTGTCTCCCCATGCCACCCCCGTGTCCCCCTGAGCAGGGTGGTGGCTGTCCCCGTGCCAGGGCTGGGGCTGTGTCCATGCTGGGGCCATGCCCACACCAGGCTGGGCCTGTGGTGCCACCAAGGCTGCCCAGCCTGTGTCTCCTGCAGCTCGGTGGGAAGGAGGAGGAGGAGGAAGAGGAGGAGGAGCTCACTGAGAGGAGTGAGCAGGACTCTGGGATCAACGAGGAGCCGCTGCTGACAGCTGAGCAGGTACCCATGGGCCTCTGGAGCCCTGCATGTCCTCCAAAAGCCAGGCTTGGCCACCTCGGCCCATGACCACGAGCTGAAAGCACAAGAAAAAGGCAAATCCTCATCCTTGGGGTGTGGCATGCAGGACCTGGAATGTGGATGTAGACAGAAGTGGGGGCTGTGGGGGCTGATGTGGGATTTGGCTGCACGTGGGAAGGTGGGCTGAGGGTGCTGCTGTACAAAACGGGGGGCATGGGGGGAAGGATAGAAGTGTGGGGGGCAGAGGGGAAATGCAGCTGCAGGTGCTGGTGTGGAGGCAGGGTGCAGATGAGGGGTGCAGGGTGCAGGATGCAGGGTGTAGATGTGGGGTGCAGGATGCAGGGTGCAGATGAGTGGTGCAGGATGCAGGTGCCAGATGTGGGGAGGGGGATGTGGAGGCAGCAGCAGGGTGTGGATGCAGATAGAGAATGCAAGTGCAAGTACAGGATGCAGGAGGAGATGGGTGCAGAGAGCAGGATGCATATTTAGATGTGGATGCAGGTCCTCAGTGTCCATGGAATGTGGATTTGGATGTAGGTGGGAATGTGGGATGCAGATACAGGATGCAGATAGAGGACCCAGGGTGCAGATGGATGTAAATGCAGGTGCTGATGCAGGATGGAGGGAGCAGAATGCAGATGCAGGATGAAGGGGAGGATGCAGAATGCTGATAAGGATGGAGGATGGACAGAGCAGGCTGCAGATGGGGGATGAAGATAGAGGATGCAGGTGCAGGATTAAGGGAGCAGTTGCAAGTGTGGGTGCAGGGCAGGAGTGCAGGGAGCAGGTGCAGGACAGTTGCAGGTGTGGGTGCAGGATGTGTGGGGTGCGAGGCGCAGGTAGGATGCAGGTGCACATGGAGGTCACTGATGCCCCACAGGTCATTGAGGAGCTGGAAGAGCTCATGCAGAGTTCACCTGACCCCGAGGCTGACCCTGAGGGTGAAGAGGAAGAGGAGGAGGAGGAGGATGAGGAGGAGGAAGAAACCAAGGCTGATGCTGAAGGCAAAGGTGGTGGTGGGGGCACGGAGCCCATCCTGCTGCGGGAGCTGCATGCTTTCTCCCCTGCCTTCAACAACAACTGCTCCCACGAAGGTATGGCCAGCAAAGCCCAGGCCAGTCACTTTTTGGGGACGATTCCAACCAAACTGGACAACTGAGTCTCTCCAGGCCTCAGTGCTGGCTTGCTCTGGGACTTGGCCAGAAGGGCTTTTGGCAAAAACTGTGAAGAACACAGGGATCTGGCTTTCGGTGTGGAAAGGCACGTGGGGTTCACCAGGAGGGCGCTCCACGCACGTGAGATTTGTCACTGGTAGCGTGGGCTGTGTCACCAGCAAGCCCAGGCACTTCACTCATTGCTCTGCTCTTTATCTCACTGTGCAGGTTACTAATCACACCATGTCACTAATTGCACCATGCATGTCACTAATTGCACCATGCATGTCCATAATCACACCATACATCTCACCAGTTGCACGATGCATGTCAATAATTGCACCAGACATGTCACTAATTGCTCCATACATGTCACTAATCACACCCTGCCTGTCGCTAATTGCACTGTGAATATCACTGAGTGCACCTTGCATGTCTCTAATCGTGCCAGGAAGTTCATTAATTGCTCTGGGCACATGGTTTATGGCCCTGAGCATATCAGTAATTGCACAACGGGTTTATCTCTTGTGTCTCAGAAAATGCAGAGCCCATCTCGCTCAGCACGAGATGCATTTTAATGGCTGCAGTGTGTGTTTCACTGACTGCACTGGGGTGTCCTTGACTGCAGCAGGCATTTCCTCCTTTCCCCATGCATGGCACTGCTGCAGAGTCCCGAGGAGGCCACGGAGATGTCCCAAAGGCGGCAGCACCCCTGCTGGGGTGACAGGCTGGGAGTGCTGGGGAAGAGAAGGCTCCAGGGAGAGCTCAGAGCCCCTCCAGGGCCTGAAGGGGCTCCAGGGGAGCACTCCTGTGTCTTTGTGTGGCCCCCAGGCACCCTTGGGCACCACTGTCCCTCCACTTGCAGCCCAGTGCAGCCCTGTGTGTCACTCTGCACCCTCGTGCAGCATTGCATTGGGCATTCTTGTGTATCCTCCTCCATCCTTCTACATCCCTGTGCATGCTCATGGATCACAGTGCATCCTCACGCATTCCAGTGCATCCTCCTGCATCCCTGTGCATCCCCATGCACACTTGTGCATCCTTCTGCATCCTTGTGCATCTCTGTGCATCCTCCTACATCCTTGTGCATGCCTGCACATCTTCCTGGATGACAATGCAGCCTCGTGCATCCCTGTGCATCCTCCTGCATTCCAATGCATCCTTCTACATCCCTGTTCATCCTCCTGGATCACAGTGCATTCTCCTGCATTCCAGTGCATCCTCCTGGATCACAGTGCATCCTCGTGCACTCCAGTGCATCTTCATGCATTCCAGTGCATTCTCCTGCATGCTTGTGCATCTCTGTGCATCTGCATGCACTCCAATGCATCCCCATGCATACATGTGCATCCTTCTGCATCCCTGTGCATCCCTGTGCATCCTCTTGCATCCCTGTGCTTGCTTATGGATCATAGTGCATCTTCATGCATTCCAATGCACACTTGCGCATCCCTGTGCATCCTCCTGCATCCCTGTGCATCCCTGTGCATTCTCCTGCATTCCAATGCATCCTCATGCACACTTGTGCATCCCTGTGCTTGCTCATGCATTCCAATGCACCTCCATGCTTCCCCACATACCCCTGTGTATCCCTGTGCATCCTCCTGCATTCCATTGCATCCTTGTGCATCCCTGTGCATCCTCCTGCATTCTAGTGCATCCTCATGCATCCTTGTGCATCCCTGTGCATGCCCCTGCCTCGCTGCACCCTCGGTGCCCCCGTGCAGTGCCCCCAGCCCCTCTCCCTCTCTCTGTCTCTCTCTCTCTCTCTGCAGTGCTCTGCCCGACCTGACGCCGTGCTGCCCCCACACTCCCACCCCGGCGCCTCCAAATCGGGGCCAAACCCCAGGAAAAAGGGTCACCCACCCGTGGCTGCCCCACCCTGCACTTCCCCCTTTGCACAGCTGGGAATAAAGAATTCCTTACATTAATTAGGCAACTGGTGTCCGGTGTCTGTGTCTTCCCTTGCTCGTGGCGGTGCTTTGCAACTTTTTGATAGAAAAATGATGTTTTTAAGCAAAAAAAAATCCCAGCATAGACTTAGCTCATGAATATTCTGGGATCTCTAAAAAACACAAACTTCTGGCTAACGAGCTGCTGCAGTTGCCACCATTGGAGGGGCAAAATTCAGATTAAATTCCATTCTCAGGGATTTTTCCCATTTTTTCATTTTTCTGTGACCCAGTTTTCTGCTAAAAATTGTGCAAACATCACCCAGAAAATCAACCCATTATTAAGGAATGGCTCATTATGGGACAGGGGGGCTTCCATTGCTTCCATTTTGGGGGAGAATTGCTCTGATTTGGGCTTTGTCACTCATTTTGGGGAGGAGTGCCTAATTTGGGGGGTGTTGCTCATTTTTGGGGAGTGTTGTCCATTTTGGGACAAATTCACTCATCTTGGGAGAAGTCACTCATTTCCAGAAGGACCAGTTTGGGACAGCTTCCTTTGGGAGCATGTCACTCATTTGGGGGGAGAATTTTTGGAGAACACAACTCCTTTTGGAGTGAGCACCCATTTTGGGGGAGAATCACTCATTTCAGGGAGACATTAACCCCTTCTGGGTCATCATTTGATTCTGAGGAGCATCCCTCATTTCTGGAGACCATCACTCATTTTGGGGTTGTCTGGAACACTTTGGGGGAGCTTCTGGGGGACAATCACTCATTTTTGGAGAGAACAGCTCATTTTGGGGTGTGCATCTTTCATTAGTGGGCAAAATCTCATTGGAGCTTGTCTGAGGGGAAAAATTTTCATTTTTGGTGGACCATCAGTTTTGGAAGTATAAATTCAATTTTCTCCACACCACTCAATTACCAATTTGGATCCACCCACCCATTTTGGGGGTAAATTAATTTTATGAGGGGAGTTTTGCCCCTTTTGGGGGGTTATTCCTGCATTTTGGGTCTTCTCCACTCAAAGGAAGAAGCTGCCAAGAAAATACAGGTGCGACCCCTCATCTTGTAGCACTTTATAATAAATGGCCAGGAATTAATACTAAATTACAATGAATCCTTTATGAAATTACAGATTACATTCACGCCAGATCAGTATCCAAAAATAGGCATTTCTGCCCATTGCATCACTTGGTTTTTTTATCCCAGCTCTTGTTCAGGTTCTTTTGGCAACTCTTCAAGAGCCAGGAAAAAAAAAGCACAATATGGGCAAAAAGCCTCCAAGAAAATGATCCTTCTCCTAGAATCTCACATTTAGAGCAGGAACCTGCAGAAGACAATTCCTTTATTTTTACCCTGGTTTGCTTTTGCATTTCCTCCCATGCCACATTTTAAGGCAAATACACCTTTTTGCTAGCATTTAAAATAAAAAAACCCAAAATACAGGGTTTTTGGCAGCTGCCCTCCCCCATGGGGCTAAAGCTCCACCATTTGCCACGTGGAGGGACAATACCAGGGAGAAATCATCTTTTAAGCAACAATACTTAATTTCCTTCCACCCAGGCGAGTCTTGCATATCGCCATTCAATTTTGGGTGAAATCCTGCATTTTTTAAACCAATTTTTCCCCATTTTTAACTAACTCTGTGCCAAAATGCCTTTGGAAAAGTTTTACTTCCGGCAGCCTTTGCCCCAACTCTGCCTCCAATCTCAGCCCTTAAGGACGAGAATGGGCTGAGTTGGTTTTTTTTTTCCAGATTTAGCAGAGGTTTTAGCACATAAATTAAAGGATTTGGAGGAATTTCCTCCCTTTTCCAGAAAGTTGTGTCCAGAGTCACCAAGCAGCCTCAGCATCGGGGCCAAAGTTGGGAGGTTTGGGCAATCCCATGAGCTGAGCACCAAACCCTCCTTGGATATGGCAGAATTTGCACTCGCTGATTGTTTTTCTTCCCCCTCCATGCCAGTGTTTATGCCTGTGAATGACCTTTCTGGGGGTAAAAAATCCAAAAAGCATCAAGTCCTGGGGTTGGTTTGGCTTTTCTTTGCACCAAGAAATCCAAGGGATGGACACAGTGGCCCACCCACCACTGCCCACCAGCATCCGAGCGTCACGTGGGGAAAACAACTTTCCCTCAAAATGCTTTTGCTTACCAAAAAATGAAGGGAAAAAGAAAAATAAAACCTGAAATAAAAGATTAATCTGGCCACAATATGTGCCTTGTAAACGCGTGTCCTTCGCTCCCGCGCGCTGCCGTGGTGGTCCCCGCGCTCCTGGGGGCAGCCAGGGCCTCTGCCAGCGCTGCCAGTTTGCTTTTTTCTCACCAATTTCTTCTCCTTGCCTTTATTTTTTTTGCATTTCAGGGGGCATTTTGTATCTGGTGCTGTTAATGATTTGGGAGGGTGCAGGAGGAGCTATTCCAGTGAGTCACTGTGGTCCAAACCAAGGTCAGCACCAGGTGCTGCTGGGAGGCCACCAGGCTCTTCCTCCAGCTCTTCCTCCTCTTCCTCCTCCTCCTCCATCTCGTCCTCGTCCTCCTCATCCTCCTCCTCTTCCTCGGTGCCATCCAGGGAGTCGTCGTGGGCTGCCAGCATCGCCTGCTGCATGGCCATGGTGGCAGTGGCTGATGAGAGGGGCTGGAGGTTGTCCATGCTGAGCGAGCCTGGAATTAAAAGCACAGAAATAAGGACTCCCCAGCTAACACAGAAAGGACAAAAGAAGTGCATAAAGGAAGAAAAACTCAAGTGAAAAGCTTGGAGAGCTTCACCCATAGGGTATCCCACCTACTGCAGTCACACCCCAAGGTCCAATCCTTAATGTTTTTAGCTAATGCATCATTAAATAACAAGAAATCTTAGTTCTGAGCAAACAGCTGCCCAAATTGGTTTGGCAGATCTTCTCTTCATCTTCTTTCAAGTCCTACCTTTCCTTCTCTTCATCTCATCTGGTGTATGTTCATTTCTGCTCTCTTCACCTTCTCTTCATCTTCTCTCTTCCTCATCTGTTCTTTGTTCATCATCTCTCTTCATCATCATCACCTTCTCTATTCTTCTCTTCATTTTCATCATCTATTTTCTCTTCATCTTCTCTCTTCCCATTTTGTCTCAATCTAT